AATTAATATAAAACTTAATCCAAAAATTTTGAACCCCTAACATTTTTTCATATATAAATTTAAAATTTCATTTTATAAAGATAAGAAAATAGGCTAAAATTTATCATAAATTGGTAATGCTAAAAAATGAGTAAGTTAACAAACTAAGAAAAAATAAAATAATAAGATAAAACCAACAAATAATAATAATAATAATAATAATAATAATAATAATGTTAACATCATCACAACATGAAAAATTTGAAGAAAAAAAAAAGGTAGGGGAAAAGAAGAGATTTGGGGGGAAGAGAATTTTAAATGGGTTAATTGGGTTTGATGGGTTACCCAATAATACCCATTTATTAAATGGGTATTATTGGGTAACCCATTTATACCCATATACAAAAATTTAAAATACTCATACCCATCTATTCATGGACAGATATAGGTAAATCTAGTTAAGTGGGTTGATTTGCCACCTCTAGTTGCAAGTATACGGTTACATAATACAGAATATAGGACAACTACAACAACGAGCCAGCAAGGACCTCTTTTTTTCTTTTTATTTTTTATTTTTTGCCTTTTCACTCCTCTTCGCACCTTTCTCATCCCTAATTACATGTATAGGATTCGAACCCTGAATTCAGCAGGGAAAAGAATTCGGATTTCGGGGTGTGTGTGTCTATCTCTTTCTCCTTTCTGTTGTTTTGGCCAATAATTTACGCTGAAGACTTAATTGCAGACTGCAATCACGACTGGAAAATTGCCACATACCCACCCGACTGCTTGCTCTCAGGAGCCATGTGGGCCGAGCGTAGATGAAGATAATGAAAGCTCCATCGATCGGAAATTTGACTGAATAGACTGCTGAACCAGAAACTGGTGAAAAAGGCCGTCCCAATCGCGACATGTTTGCCTTTTCAACCTTCTTGTGATGGCTTCGCTTTACCATTAATATGCTCGAAATAATAAAAAAAAAAAAAAATCTTCGCCAAAGAAAGATGCTTGACCGGGTGCAAAGCCTTATACGCTGCCCTTGCCCGAAACACTCACTCGGTCTTAGACTTAGGGCCGAAGCCAAGACCCTAAGAATAAGAGATTAGAAGGGTCAATCTGTGACAGCGTGTAAAATGCAGTAATAATGAATTAAATTAAATAGAAATCTATGCAAAACGGACATCTTCTTCCTATGTAAAATATGTTTTTAAGTTCGAATTATACTCAAATTTAGCAATAAAAATCACTACCAATTTGTGTTTAGAAACATCAACAAAGTTTATACTTGGATTAATATGGATGTTTTTAACACTCTTGTGAAATTTTTAACATTTTGAGGTCGAGGGAAGGGGCCAATGCACTAGAAAAGAGAAATTATTAGATTTTGGGGGCAATGTACTCAGAAAAGAAAACTTCAAAGATTTTAAGGAGGCAAATAGGAAGCAATTTCAAAATTTTCTAAATTTTTAAGCCCAAAAAATAATTTTCTCAAAAAGACGAGGGGCGATGCTCTACCCCAACATTTAAAAAAAAAATTGATGAACTTTTTTTTTTCTCACAAAAAGACAAGAATTTTTTTTTTTTTTTAAAAGGGAATAATAAAAGAGTATTAGCTGTTAGGATGCAGATCAGTTAGGGACGTAATAATGGGATAAGTACACAGCTAGCTCGATATAATTGGAATCAACGCGAACATTTCTTGAATCACACTATCATAAATGTGGCCTTTGTCATTTCATTAATGAATATCAGTGAGAATAATAATCTCCTAATTAACCATTTGTAAATAGTAAATGATCGGACAAATATCAACTGAATACATGGCGTGATCACTCATTCACGCCTCTACTCTTCTTAATTTTGTTAGAGGTGTTTTCACTTAATGACGATTGCCAAACATTTAACCAAGAATTAGTCAGTTCATGTGCGAAATCCTGGTCGTACCTCAGCTATTTCACAATTTTTTTTTTCTCTTTTATCTTTTGGGATGAGATAGACGTTCATTTTTGGTTTGCAGTCTTTTGATTTTGGAAACAAATGAAACACCAATATCCAAACTCTTTGTGTTGATATTATTTTACAGTACTATGTACTACTCCTCCGTCCCATATATTTAGTCATGTTTGGAGATATATGTTTTTTTATGTATAATACACTTCATCAAGAAATTTTTTCTCTTATTCCACTTCCTTAATCATGTATTGGTCAAAGTAAAAAAAGTAGAAAGCAATCTCATCACAGTTGTCTTTATGCATCATTAACGATGGACGTAGGAAAAATTTCAGAGTATAAAGTAGTTAGAAATATTAAACATGACAAGTATTTTGAAAAGGTCAAAAAAGGAAAGTATGACACTTTCAATAGGACAGAAGTAGTACAATACAACTGCTATCAAATTACTCTTGGCAACAAATGCAGATTCGTAAATAACAGAAGATTAGATGCTGTTACAGCACCCACTGGAGCAGACATTGCGGGTAATTTCTTCTTCACTAGAGTTCGTTTGGAACGAAGAGCCCTCTAGAACTGCATCAATAAGTATACAGTCGGATATGGTTGGCACAGTTGCAGAGTTGAATCGCGAGAAAATGTTGAAAGAAAGGAAAGAAAAGTACGAGTACCATAAACTCAATCGATAGTGTACTACTAATTATAGAATCTGAGTTAACGTAGTATGGTATACTACGTACCAAATGCATGTGCAGCTAACATGCATGCTCAAATGCGACGATGTTATGGCGTTGTCATCCCTTGGCCGCCTCGTGCTTCATTATTAGTGCCCTCCTGAATCAACATACCTTCTAATGCATGCATGTCCTCCACATGTCATATTCTAACTCATCGGTCCTCATTCATCTATGTTTCTATTTCCTTCTCTTTTCTTCTTTTCCTTTTTGGTCTCCAGCCTCCTGTACATGATTTAATTGTACGTTTTTCTGCTCTGTAAAAATGTGCCTTTCCATGCAACAGCAATGTGGGCTTTTGTTTTCACACCGTCAAAAAAATTTGAGAAATTTTTTTGAGAAGCAGAGGCTGCAAATCTCCAACTAATGAACAGCGCTGCAGGCAAACCTCCTAGCAATGATTAATTACTCGAGTCGTCCTTGGTACTTTGGGGTTTTCCTTTGGCCAAGTTAATGTAAGTAGTAGCAGCTCTAATGTACGTGTACCGCGGCCACCGACACCACCGGTGGGCGGTGGTGGGCAATGGTGAGATCAAGACCACCGCCTCAAAGTCGGCCCCGGGAATGATTGAAGGTCTGCCGTTTACGTCCTATATATATATATATATGCGCAAGACCAGGGCATTGTTTACTACCACTATTCAGTATGACTTAATCGTTTTGTCGTACCTGCCCGGAATACTTCTCCCAAACTGGTTTTCAAGCAAACTTCTCGCTAATACGAAGAAAAGCAAATACCACCATCAACCTGATTCCACCTCTCCATCAAGAAAGAGGAAAAGGAATAACGTATTGATCAACAAATGGTTAGAAAATCCTCTTGTAACTGTAGATACTTCTACATTTGGTTAATAACGGTATGTACATATATACATATTTCTTTCTATATATAAACTTTGAGCACCTTTGAGTGAGTGCTAAAATTTTGTGTCTCTTTATAGAATATAGAATAGAAAGCATCCCTCATTTCCCCTTTTTTCTTCTATCCACTTCTCCTTTCCCTCACAATGACATTCAATGGAAATAACAGCATCACTATGACTAATTCAATTCCTTCAAAATTAACTTTAAACTTAGCTACTTCATTATATGTTGCCAATATAACTACAATAGTACTATAACTATCAAACAAACTACAATCTCATACAAAAAATAGTTAAAAGATCAATTTTTTTTCCAAATACGAAAAAGTTTAATTCATATATAAGTAATGTATTTTTAAAATTGGATGTGCCATTAAAACTAATATATATAACCCTTATCCATGTCTATGTTTTAGTTACGCCTGCGTTAAAATGATTAACATGGATGCACCATAGGACCCACTCTGGTAGGCGAATTAAGCATTACACTGCAAAATTTAGAAAAGATTTGGCTAATAATTGTAAAAGATCGGTTCAATTCGCAGATTTTTTTTTCTGAACTCTTATTTTTAAAATGACTGGAAGTCTTTCTTTTCTGTTTTTTTTTTTTTTTTTTTTGAAGGAAAAATGACTGGAAGTCTACCACAGCTTTAGAATATCGTCAATTGCAATATTAGCATTTGTTCTCATCTTCTCGTAATTATGTCTCTGCTATCACTTATTTCTTGCTTTCAGCTAAGCTGCGCAAACTCTTTCCGTCTGGATTGTAATTTTTTGAAATTTTTGAAAAAAAAAATACTGTAATGATGTGATGTATGAAAAATAAAAGGATGATCAGAAAATATAAATAAGAGAAATATTTTGCAATTTTCTATAGAAAATTGCAATCCAAACGCAACCCATCGTCATCCTAGGATTACAGTAAGCAAGTAATTATTGCGCCATTCAGTTTTTCTGATTGTCTTATTTTTGCAGCACGTACACCCTTTCTTGCATATATGATATAACCCATGCCGCATGAAAATTTCTCAGGATGCAGAGGCAAAGTCACTGAAATTATTTCAGCCGCGCAACCAAATGGTTCGCCAGGGGGGCAAAGCATTTCAGGGGCTGGGCTGTGTGTATGCAATTGGCAAGTCAGACAGGAGACAATGGCGCCACACAAGATCCGAATAACTCTGTAATGAAATACAACTGGTGATGCTAGTGCTCTGTTATACGTTCTTGCATCTGCACTAATCTACAAAGTAAATTAGATGCAAAATACATCCTTGAACTTCTATTTTGGTTCGCAAGTGCCCTCTAAACTATTAATTTTTGGTGATGCACCCCAATCAACTCCCCATGGAGGGAATTTAATGGGTTAACGCCTTCGATTTTATTTTCTTTGAGAGTTTCCTTTTAAGTACTCAAATTAAATCATATTTTCGATAAAGCAAAGCACAGATTTTACTTTCCTTTTTTTTTTACGAGCACCTTTTACGAAAGTTCTACAATTTTTTCTTTTTGAGGCAGATGAAACAGTTACCATCAGAACTTTGTCATTACATATAATTGTAGAAAAGTCCTCCTGACTTTCAACAGAATTTCCTTCTCCATTTCGCAATGTCCTGACTTTGCACTTCGTCTTTAATATTCACAGTTCACACGACGCAAAAATGCGTACTGCATCGCTGCGAATGCTTCCCCATTCCAACAAAGTACCGATTGCATCACAGCATCAGAAAAACGTGGTACCACATCTATGTGCCAAAGAGGAAAAGAGCAGTGTACAGACGGGTGATCTCCAACTCAACTCGAGCAAGGCAAATCATCTCCTGGCACTGGCAGCTGCGTCGTTTCGCTGTGATTTAACTATTACCGCTCCACAGCTCCTCCCTCCATTTTCCATTGAGTAGGTAGTAAACATGAACTCAGAAGGTTGAACTTCGTTTAGAGAAGAGCGTTATGTGCCAAATATGAACCTCACCAAGAATGCAAAAAAGGGGCAGAGATGTTATCAAGATTCAAATTTAACAGTCAGCATGCAGGGCTGGCAAAGCCTCGCAACATTTACAAAATGGTAAGACTGAAAACTATAATGCGTATTTATCACTCATCACCATATCAAGGAAAGAACAACCAGACTGAGAATTATAAGGAGAAGGATCAGTAGCTTGTTATCTTCAGCCTGTGAACCTTGAGGAGTCATTGGAGCTCTGGGAACATTAGCACCATGATAATAACCGCCAGGATAAGTATGTGGATATCCTGAACCCGTGCCATATACAGGTGCGGTTGGAAATCCGTGAATCTGAAAGCTGAACATCGACGGCAAAATCCCACCAAAACCAGCCAACATGGCAAAGCTACCAAACCCTGCAGTCATCACCGGTAGAAATCCTCCAGCAAGTCCCAAACCAAAATTCAGAAAGTTAGCTGAATCGGGATGAGGATGAGGAGGAGGAGCTGTCTGGGGTCTCTGTCCTGCAGGTCGATCAGGAATTTCTACACCAGGGACAGGTTTTGACCTAGGATCGGTCGCAGTCCTTCCTCGCCCGTACAGAGGAACTAACTTCTCCTCCTGTATCAGGGCCTTACAAACAGGGCACTCATGTGAGTGCGAGTGGTGGCGCAACCATCTAAAGAGACAAGGCCAACAGTACAAGTGACCGCAAAGGGTGACGATGGGATCCTGAGCTATATCAAAGCAAATGTTGCATTCAAAATCACTTGCATCCCCATCACCAGTTCCTGAAGAAGAAAGGTTCTCCGTCCCAGCAGGCATAGTAGCAGTAGCAGATTTCCCAATATCACTTGCCATCAAAAACCATAAACCACCAATTCAAACGGCAACTAATAGTCGGATTGAACTGAAGACGAAATGAACAACCTTGATTAAAGCCAACGAATAAAATTGCCAAAAGCAAAAAGCATCCTAAACTGCCAAAAACACCAAAGAGGCAAAAAAAAAAATTTACTAATTGAGAAGCAATGTAACTGGTACACAATTGAGGATCAAAGTCAGGGACCACATCCTGTAATTCTACCCAACTCCTCATTAACCTAAAGCCCATAACCTGCAAATGATATACACGCCAATTTCTAAAATCGAGTAAGGATTTGTAATTGAGAACGCCTCAATTCGATGAATAACAAGATGTCATAACAAACCCTAAATCCTTAACCAACCCTTAAAACTCGAGCCCTTATTCACCAAAGCATGAGACAGAACAGATAACGAAGCAAAAACAAAATGATTTCAAAAGGACTGCATATACAAAAGTAGAAAGATCCACAGAAAATTAAGAAAAGTTACCTAAATTGGGGTGGAGATGAGGAAAGTCGGAAAGGCGATATTAATGGCTCGGCTTCGACCGTCCCCTGCTGAAAGATAAAACGCGACGGAGACGGCGGGCGTCGACCCGCTTCCTTAAACAGAAAACAAATTTCAGAGGCGTAACTAATACTTTAGAACATTCCAGTCCTTCTTTCCAATGTAAGCAGGGAGAAAAAAAAGAGAGGTACCGTTTGGTTAGCACTTTTGGAATCTGATTGGGATTTGGGATTGTTCATTTTAGATTTGAAATAGAGTTAGTTATTTCAATAGATCTGTTTGGTTCAATACCACAAATATATATTATTATTATAATTGATGTTTGGTTCGTTGATTCTTTTGAAATGCGATATAAGAAATTTTTTCTAATTAAAAGTATTAGTAAGTTTAGTATAATTAAATAACAACTTCTATTAGTAAACATGTATACTTATTAGTATAATTGATAATATCAATTATATTATATATGCTAATATACATTATATAATACATATATATATATATCATTATTACAAGTTTTAAATTAATTAAATTAAATATTATATATAATTAAATATAATTATATTAATATTATAATATAATTATATATAATATATATAAATATTAATTATACTAATAAATTATATATTAAATATATATTTATAATGTATATTATATAATTATATTTAATTAAATATTATAATTATTATATATATTTAATTACATATATGTATATAATTATATATTAACTTTTTTTAACGGGTAGCGGGGCGGGTGCTCCCATTGTCATCTCTAGTTTTCAATAAATTAGATAGAAATTAGATTTGGATTTTGTCCAAAACCTTCCAAGTTACTAGGGAATTGAAGAATTTAAAATTTTTAAATATGATTCCAAAATCCCAATTTTGATAATAGTAATCCAAATAATAATTACAAATTTTTTTCAAATTCTTCATTTGGAAACCTTTTACCAAACGGCACCAAAGTGCAGAACATTCCAGTCCTTTCTTTCCATCGTAAGCAGGCAGGGAGAAATAACAGTCGTCTGGCTCTTCTCACCTGGCATTTAAATTCTCCTTTAATTCGGAAGTCAACCCCCCAGAAATCGAAATGGTCACTGGGCTTGAACCAATTAATATACATTTATTGGGCTAATTGGGCCAGCTTCTTTTGATCTTATTGACATTCTGTAGGTGAATTGGTCCAGTTATAGATACTCTGACGAACCCCAGTTGAAAAATCTCCCAGCTCCTTCCCAGATGTCTTGCCCATAAAGAGTAATGCAGGAGGAAAAAGTTGTTTGTTCTCGAAGTGTTTTCCTTCATAAAATGCTGTATGGCTTTCCTCTACAGCATCTGGGGCGCGCCAAAGATATTTTCATCGACAGGCTTTCCCCCGTGATTGAACATCAGTGAAACGCATTTGAGGCACTACCGTTAATTTCTTAAGACCCGTTGGATGAAATGAAAATTTTAGAGTTGCTATCAAATTTGGTTACTTGGAATGAATATCAAATGTTATGATTTTTCAACACAAATTTGATTGCCCTCGCTTTACTTTGCAATACGTTTTAGCAATATGAAAAAAAAAAAGAACTCTTTAGGAATTATGGAATTAGTAATATCTTAAATGTTTAGTCTGATTTCTGTTCCAGTACTGAAATTACAAACCAAACGCAAACGTCAATTGGTTTGGAAGCAGGGAAAATGCGTATGCTTCACTTCATGACCCAAAATAGAATCCAGGTCAGGTGTAAAATTCGTTCCCTCTCTCTGGTCTGGTTGCGTAGACGGAGAGCTTGAAATACGCGAGTCAGAAGTCACCACTCAACAAATGCCTTGAGTTAAAGGTTTTGTACGTAGCTCAAACGAAGAAAAAAAAATTACAAGTCTCTCTTTTCTTCTTCTTATTTTTTGAGGGAAATAAGTGAGAGAAGGGGTTGTTTTGATGGATAGGAGTGGGTTGTGCTTTGATTGATTTGTGGTGGAATTGTTGAAGCGATTGCCGGATGACAGTCACCTTATCCTTATGGGGACAATAAATTCTTTTGAGGAGCTTCCTGGAAAGATCCCATGGCGGATTCTGAGATTGACATTTTGCTAGTCAAGGATAGGCTGTTGTCCGGCCAAAGCAAAACATGCATGCTTCCTTTCGAGCTGTGGATTTCAATCGATCATCATATCACCAAAAAGAAAGAGAGAGAGAAAGAAAAAACGATGAAATAATAATGAGTCGGTCGTTGAATGAATGCTGTACAAATCATCAACGCAGTTTAGAATTTAGATAGAAGTCGAAAGTTAGAAAGCTTTCTCCCTTATAAGCTTCCGTCGCAATCATATTCACGTGGGATTGATTCTCGATTTTCCATGAAGAATGGAAAATGTCGCTCCGCCTTTTGTTTTTTTTGCTATTTACATCTACCCTCATATTGAAGTCAGCAACGCGTACACTACTCAGTCACCGCAATCCTCAGAATCATAGAACTAAGCGCTTATGTACCGTCACGTGAGGCCGAATCTGCTACATGTTTCTTTTTTTTTTTTTTCCCCCTTGGTAATCAATAATAATGTTTAATTCCTTGTCGTAGCTTTTTAATCTCCACGTGCTCTCTAGGTTTTTTACTCGCAACGGATCTTCTGTCCCACGCTCTATGCAATTTTCTGTCATATTTTTTATTATATTGTTATTTTTCCTACATAAACATCATGTTTTAGTTCTTTTTTTTGTTTCCTTAAAATCCAATAACTATTAATTGAATAAAAAATAAATGCAACAGTTTCAAAAAAGTAATATATAATAGAAAATTAAAAAATACAGCAGAAAATTCGTAAAAAATCTCATTTTTTATGCATTTTGAATTTTTTAGTTTGTTAAATCTCATTTTTTATGCATTTTGAATTTTTTAGTTTGTTAAATTTTGTATATTACTCAGTTAATAGTTATCGGATCTTAAGGAAATAAACAAGAACTAAAATATGGTATTTATGTAGGAGAAATATCAAGATAATAAAAAATAAGACATAGAATGACACAAGATTTGGGACAGAAAATCCGTTACGTTTTTTACTCCTATGTCATTTCTCACGCATAATTAGTTTACTTTGGGAGCTTCCCCTGCCCCGAAAATTGTACAGAGTTTGTTAACCTGTTATATTAGGACTAGGGCTGCAAACGAACCGAACCGAGTCGAGTTTTGAGCTAATCGAGTCGAGTCTCGACTAAATTTTATCAAGCTCGAGCTCGAGCTCGAACTCGACGAGCCGGCAATTTTCAAACTCGAGTTTGACTCGAATCAAGTCAAGCTCGAAAAAAATAAAAAATAATTATTTTATTTTTAAAAAAATTAATAAAATAATATTTTTTTTCTTAATAAATAATAAAATATTAAGGATATATACGTAAATTTACTATGAAAATAAAAAATAAAAAAATTTATATATAATATACGTAATTTTACTATGAAAATAAAAAATTAAAAAATTATATATAATATATGTAATTTTATTATTAAATAAAAATAAAAAAATATATATATGTATATATATATGTATACTCAAGCTCGCGAGCCGGGCTTAATATTCTGAACTCGAGTTCGAGCTCGAATTTGACTCGAGCTAGCTCGAGCTCGACTCAAGCTTGACTCGAGCCGCTCGATTCGTTTGCAGCCCTAATTAGGACGATGCATGCGAGAAAATACCAACTGCCATATATCAATGTTTATGGGAGCGAACGCAGGAGAGATTTTATATTTAAAATATCTTCACTTAACCCAAAAAAAAAAAAAAAAAAAGGGTCAAAGGGTCTGTGCCTCCCAGGGCTAATTAGATTAAGCAGATAATAGTTGAAAGAAGTTACTTGAAGGGAAAAAAAATTAGCACAACATTAATCATTCATGCACGCAGCATTTTCATGGCATGCACTTATTGCAGTACCGATAAGATGCATCTGTATACTGACATTGCAACCCGACAAAATAAAATAAAGGTGAACAAAACACAAAGAGGAAGAGGACGAAAGATGTCAATTACAAAGTGACGCTAACTCGTTCACAGGCTGCCAATGTCATGAAAAGCCTATCACCACCTAAATCACGTGTCCACGACTCTTTGACCCCCCAATCATACAAGCACAAAATTTGTTCTCCCAAAAAAAAAAAAATTAGAGAGAGCGGTTTTTTTTTTTTTTTTAAAGGAGGAAACTGTTCAGTAGGGAATCTTCTTGTAGATTATACTGTTCTTCAGCTGCTCAGTGGTAGGTAGCAAGTAGCACTCACAACTTAATCCCTAAACACGACCCACCCAAAAAATATATATATATATATATATATATATATATCCTTAAACACGACCCGAGGAAGAGTTTAACAGAAAGTCAAAGACCAACTGAAGTTCTAATTCAATCAATTTGTTACTTATATACATATTTCTGGAATGTGTACGTATATACAATAATAGGATACTACAGTCGGTTTTTAAAGATTTGACGACAATAGTAGCGTTTTTATGACTTCAAGCCCTGGAGAAATTACAGCGAACGTCTTCCTTTTTCCTTGTTTAAGTGATTTGTTAGGTGTACTTTAATCTACCCCGACCCAACCAAAAAGGTGGTCGATGAATTGCTTCGCTCTTCGGTTACATCTCAAGAAACAGTAGTGGTATCTGCAATTTGTCTTGTACGCCTCGCGATTTGGCCTGCTTCCAATCATATACTCCTTCCCTTTTTCTATAACTGACGTTTAAGGTTTTGCACATCAATTAAGAAAAATTTTTCATTACTTAAATCTGTATACTACTTTCCTTTTGTACCCTCATTAATTGTCCAATTCACCCATATTTTCTCTCACTAAAATACTAAATGGTGCTGTTTTACTAGGCAAAAAGCAATGCAAATTAACTCCCATCAAATTAAATGTTTCTAAAATGAAAAACTTTCCCACCAAAAATTTTCACCTAAATTTTTAATCTAAAATTTTAAACATTTTTAACTCCCACCAAATATTTTGAGAGGCTATAAGGACTTCACTATATAAACTAGTCTCAAGAAAAATACATTATTTGTATTCTTTTAGACATGGCTTCAAACACATAAACAGCCTCTTCTTGAAATAGATTTAAATATTGAATTCACACAAGCACATGTTGAACAAAGGGGGTTCAATATACTGCGAGAAAAGAAGAAAGAATACGGAGGGGCAGATAATTACTAGAGTTGTTATAAGAAGAGAAACAATAAT